TGTGTGTGTGTGTGTGTGTGTGAGAGAGAGAGAGAGAGAGAATGAGAGAGAGAGAGAGAGAGGGAAACAGACAAAGGGAGTCTTGTCCAAAGCTTTCTAAGTCAATCAAACAAACTTCATTATAACTATAGTTGTGTAAAATGATATTCCTTCTATATAGAGTTCAGTGACCCTGAAGATGACCATGAAGATTTTGCCTTCAATAAAGTTATTTCCTGGGCGTCTATTAGAAAAAACAATGTTACCAATATGTCAAAAAATCTTTAGCCATATTGGTTTCAATAAACTGGTCTATTTCTTCGTATTACAGGTGAAAATAGTTGATGCAAACAACAAGATCGTTCCTCCAGGCGTGGAAGGGGAAATATGTGTGCGAGGGGTGTTCATGTTCAGTAGTTATTACGGTTCTGAAGACTTGTACAGGAAAGTGGTGTCCCCGTCTGGTTGGTACCACACTGGGTATGTTATGTGTTAAATGGGATAACGCGTTTGATGAGTTGAAACAGCACAATGGGTGAATGTGATAGTTGTGACAACACACTTGGTGAGTGTGATAGTTGTGACAACACACTTGGTGAGCGTGATGGTTGTGAAAAAACACTTGGTGAATGTGATAGTTGTGACAACACATTGTTGAGTGTGATAATTGTGACAACACATTGGGTGAGTGTGATAGTTATGACAACACACTGGGAGGGAGTGATATTTGTGACTTTGCAGTGTGAGGGTGTCAAATGTGTGACATATCGTAGTGCATAATGTAACTGCAACTAACACCCTAAATATGTTTTAAAATGTTTATATGAACTTTGATGAAAGAAATAAGACAAGTGGGGTGTTTGCGAAGCGTGTGCTTATCCCGATCCAATTAATCATTTTCTATTCCACACCCCAGAGACATTGGTACGATGAATGAATACGGGTTTATGTACTACACTGGACGGAAATTTCATGTACTCCATTTTTCTCGCTGGGGCGACAAGGTTTATCCTGCTGCTATAGAGATTGCAGCAGCAAAACATCCTAAAATCAGTCTGGCACAGGTGAGAGAGAGAGAGAAAGAGAGAAAGAAAGGCCTGTAGGGGAACGGTTGTGGGGAAGTCTGGAGCACACTCTCTAAAACAACTTGACTAACTCCTTTTGGTATAAGCAACGTCATTAATACCCCTGTACGAAAATTTCCATTAATAATATGATATCAGTACTTACAACTGTATGACTCACGACATACACACACTGGACAAAAGAAGTGTCACCCCTACTGAGCCAATACTATGGGGGAGATAAATGACTGTGGAATGATATGCTCCTGGTATCATTTTATTAACATCAAATTTCACAAAAAATCACAAAATGAGAACAAAATATACATTCTACCAAAATATGCAGTTTCAAGTCCAAAATTAGTACTTAGTGGCATAGCCACATGACCTAATAATAGGTGCCATTCTACGAAGCAAGGATTCATATAATTGTCTGATGCGTTCAGGGCTTATGCTGGCCCAAGCATGAAACACTGAATATAACAGAGTTTCTCTGCTGGTTAGACGGACATTTGTAAAAAGTTGTGACATATCATTCCACACATTTTCTATTATGTTTGCATCCGGACTCTGGGCAGGCCACATCACCCTGCGAATGTCCTGTTGGTCAAACCAATCATCAACTGCTCTGGACCTGTGACAAGGAGCATTGTCATCCTGGTGAACAAATGGATAATTCCTGTCACCAAACATGTTAGTAATAGATGGTAGCAAGCCTGACTCCAAAACATCGATATATTTCTAGTGATTCATGTTTCCATTAACCACTATCAATTCGCCCAAGCCATGGATGCTGATGCAGCCCCACACCATGTTGAATATGCTGCTCCGGGTTCGAAAATTCAGTGCATGTGGTTCAAATGCCTTACCAGCAGTTTGCCAGCATAGTACCCGTCTGTCATCAGAGGTCAGACCAAAGCGACACTCATCAGAAAAAATATATAGGACCCATTGTCATGAACTGTCTAGTTCCAGATCCTGTTGACCCTACCTGTAGTTCATTCTAAGTTGCCTGTTTTGTAACGATATAAGAGGTTTCAGACTTGCTACCCTGCTGTACACTCTCTGAGCATGTAACCGACGCCTAGCAATTTTCACAGACACATTCTTATGTGTGAAATTGTTCCACTGTGTTGTCAACTGACAAGCAGTGTCGAACTTTGACAACCTGGACATCATAATCAGTCGTCGGTCTTCACGGATAGTATTTTTTCTTGGACGACCCATCAGTGGCAATTTGTCTCTTGATCCAGTGTTTCTATACCAAGACCAGACCCTCTGCACGGTTCTGACTGAACAATTCAATTGTATCGATATTCTGACATTGCTTATATTCCGCCTCTTCAGGTTAATAACTTGCACCTATAACTGTTAAATAATTGCTTGTATCTTGCCATATTGGAGGAAGACAGGATTAACATTTGCTGTACATGTACAAGACCAACAATACAATGCCATGGTATAGCGGTTTTATACTCATTAGTCACATTATAAGTAGACCAGGCTTTATAAGTACCCAAGATCTGCCTACTTTTATTACTCTGAGTTAGGGGGTGACACTTCTTTTGTCCAGTGTGTGTATATTATAGAAATACACGCATGATCGGAAGAGTCGAGTGGTCGTTTACGAACGTTTGTGTTCTGAAACAGGACATTTTGTCATGAAACAGTGATAATCATAGCTATAATATAATTAAAGGAAAATAACAGCCCTGTTTCTGTTTCTGAAAATGCGCTCACGCACGTTTTATATCGCTTACTGTTGTATTTGTTCTTGAAAAGTGCTCCCGACCATCACAAGGATGCTCATTATATCCATTGCCTCGGAAATCAATGACATATATCGACAAAAGGGCTCACTTTTCTGGGAACGGAACGCATATTTTATTATTATAATCATTATAATTATTTTTATTATGATAAAGATGATGAAGATGATGATGATGATGATGATGATAATGATGATCTTTTTCCTTGGTTTAGGCAGTTGGGTTTAGAAAACCTGGCGAAGATGACCTTGATACCATCATTCTGTGTGTTATGTAAGTAACCGTATGAAGTGGATGTTCAATCTTTAAAATACGCGTACGTATCTAGCTGCAAAATCTGCCAAAATGATTAAGTACTACATGTACATGCATATCTATACAAACCTCTCGCGAAAATGCCGTTGACTATAGCCCCATTCAGAATAGCGGTCTTACTAGTCCGAAGTTCAAATATGGCGACCTACCACAAAGCTTGCCGTCTAATCCGCTAATAAGCACTGAATAGATATCCCGTGGGGAAGTATTCAAGTGGGTCCGCCATATTTGACCCTCAGACCAATTAGTCCCCTATTCTGAATGGGCCTATGACAAGAGCTCTTCAGCGACTTATTTGACTCGTGAATTTATGACAACATTTGGATATCCATAGGTGCATTAGTAAGTTTAACATAATTTGACGGTTATCAACATAAAGTTATAGTTACTATACGAACTGTAGGGCCTACAATTATTTTGCCGCAGTCCATAAAGCAACCTTACATTTTACGCTGAGTCATTCCACACTCACCGTCCTGGTATCATTATAAACAAGATTGACAGTGTTGTAGTGTTTAATAGGACAGACATATTTGGAGGAATGACATCGAATGTTCGCGTGTGCGTGCGTGCTAACGCGAGCATGTGTGTGTGTGTGTGTGTGTGTGTGTGTGCGCGCGCGCATGGGTGCGCTCAAATGTGTAAAAACGTATGTAAGAAGATGAATGAATGTGTGCGTGGGTGCCTGTGCGAAAAGGCATGCTTGATATATTTCTAAAACGTTTTCTCTTCTATTTCTCCAGACCTATCCAGGGCCAAAATATAACAGAAGGTGAGCTGCGATCTCATTGCAAGAGCGAGGTGAGTATGAGCCATGATGGTGGAAAATCCAGTGAGTTACGTAAAATCCAATGAATTATGACCTCAGTAAGAGTAAAAAAGCTGGTGATTTTGCGAGCACTTAAGAAACAAAAGGAGGCATGTCATTCAATTGTGCTGATTGCATTTAGCAAGAGTCCCCCACAGAGTTGGGTCTATCCTTGCACGTAGGTCGCTGGTGTCTTTATGACCTTTATGAGAAGGGGGTCTTAGTCTGTCCCTATGTTGATTATACTTTAAGAATCTTTAAACATCTAATGCACCGTACGTTTAGGAAAAAAAACCTGGATTAACTTTGAATGCAGGAATGGGGTCGTTGACCATTGGTAAGTACGTGAAAATTGTCGTTTTTTTCAGGATAATCCAATTTTTGGCCAAAACGAAGAGTTATTATGACTTTAACGTATTTTAACGTTCTTATTTCTAAATCAAATTGGAATAGTTTAGCTCATGAATTTCTCCGTCACTGAAATGCTCCTTTTGTGTTTATTTATGTCATCATTCCATTATGACTGCAGCTGAGAACTCCTCATTTGCCCAATTATACCATCCACGTATTGTTGGCCAGTGATGCAACATCTAGCGTTATTCGGGCATAGTTGCGACGATTACTTTTTGTCTTGGTGCAACGGGCGTAAGCAGGGAGAGTAAACCTGGCGCACGGACGTCAGGCGTTGCGGTTTAAGACAGTCGTAGCCGAGTAAATTTACGCCCTGTTGGTGCAACCGGGCCCAGATGCTTAACGTGGGATTGAACACTGTACGACACTGTATAATTTGTCGTGTTATCTGCCCATGTGGTGACGTCATTTAATTTCGGATCAAGTTAGGCTGGGTGTGAACACCCCATATTTGACGCCACACTCATGATTCTTCTCTCCTGTTGTTTTTAACTGTTGGATTAAATGTGGCCGAACGTAATAAACAGATCGAAGAATAGGGACAAGTGAGAGGTAACGATCGCCATATGACGTCATTTAGTCTATATATGGTTTGTGTTCGTGCTTTCTGCTTACTATACTATGGATATAACAGCCCGTAATTCCCCATTTCAGCTGTTGGATCACATGTGGCCGGACCACTATGTCGTTATGGAGACGTTCCCCAGGGTGGGGATCAGGCAGAAGGTGAGGCCAGAGAATGATGTTTAAAAGAGGCTGTGAGTTTTAGTTATTTAAAAAAAGTGTGCGTGTTTGTGTGTGTCAACTCGTCAAGAGTTTTTTCTCACCTTATTAATGCATGAATAAAAATTATTATTATTTAACCGTCATTTTGCTTGCCTAACGCCCATTTGCCACTTATATGTACAGTATATATATATATATATGGTATTTGTGACCTTGGATGGTTTTTTCGTAAAGAATAAAGGGGCAATGGATCTGTTCACGTGAACTGTTATTATGTTATTATGTACGTCTTACATGTGTCAGAGTATCGATAATTCTCTTCCTTCAGGTCTCCAAAGAAGAACTCCTGAAAAGTGCCAAGAGTATCCTCCTGGATTCCGGTAAATTGAAGTTGAGTGAGATGAACCAGTGAAAACAGTGGCGACAAGACAGGCCTGGAATTGTCTCACATCCGGGACTTCTGACATTTGCGAGATTTCTCGCGAGACGAGATTGAAAGTTTCCAGTGACCAATATCGATTTGTGCTTATATAAACAGAAAAGAAAAAAGGGATAATAATAATAATAATAATAATAATAAACAACAACAACAACAACAACAACAACATTTATCGGGATAATGTTGATGTAATTGACGTTTCTGAAGTACAAATAACAGTTTTATATGGCGAAAGGCCTCGATGAATTTGCATAAAGGGGTAAAAATTCTTGATACATTGTGTTTGCTTTTAATTGATTAAAATGTCCAATGACATGACATCTTTCACCTTTTTCAAAATGAATTTTATAAGAATGGCAGGATCTTAAGAAAGAACTATCAGAACATGTGGCACTTATTGTGTTTAATGAACCAAAATGTGTACGTAAAAAAACGTAAATGAAATTCTTGCTGTGATTGTAAAGGTTTTAAATGGTCTTTAGGTTTCTGTGTTGCTGCCTTTAACGGGTTCATTATTGTGAAAGAAAATAATGTTTCAATTTCATTTTGTTGAATATTTTTTTACTCGGGTATANTTATTTTGTTAAATGAACCAAAATGTGTACGTAAAAAAATCGTAAATGAAATTCTTGCTGTGATTGTAAAGGTTTTAAATGGTCTTTATAGGTTTCTGTGTTGCTGCCTTTTAACGGGTTCATTATTGTGAAAGAAAAGAATGTTTCAATTTCATTTTGTTGAATATTTTTTTGCTCGGGTATACCGTAATCACATATTGTTATGTGTCATGGCTGCCGGGCTGTTGTCAACTCGACACAATTTATACACTGTCGCCATCTACTGTAATACTATTATACAGCATGTACTTATATACGCGTGATAATCTTCAAATCAACAGGCGGACTAACTCTGACCCCTTTGCCACTCCGACAATTGGAGAAAAGACAAACCTAAACAAACGGAACACTATTTTCTACACTAAGTCTACCATTTGCGAAACAATTAATACATGATATTATTGGAATTATTAACCAAAACCTTTCTGTAGGCCCTGTGTTATTTTCAAAGTTGAAAATAAGGGTGCATATAAATAAGTCTGTTTTGTTGCATCACTGTACACTGTACACTTGATAAAGCATCTCAAACGAGATAGGATGAGCTTCTTGGGCCCAATTACCATAGAATAGGGGACTAACTTGTCAAAGGGTCAAATATGGCCACCCACTACAAATATATATATATATATATATATATATATATATATATATATATATATATATATATAATAAACCACAGTTGGAGACATTTTTATCGCTTTGAAATTATAAGGTTAGAGAAACAAATGGAACAAAAATGCCGTCCAAAATAAGGTCAAAGACAAGGCGGTGACAGGCAGCCTAAGTGGGACGTAATGACAGAGATAAGATCGGTTGGGTGTATGTTTATCTTTGTAACCCACATGTAGAAAAATATCCTCCCAACTCACATGACACAGTCTCTCAGGGCTTGTGCGTAAAACAGACATTTTCCAAGACCTGGGGCTATCTGGCTTTCTAAAATCCAGTCAAGGGCTGCGGATTAGTATAATCCAGCGACTGTCAAGTCATTCTGGATAAAGACAAGAATCCACCAATCAGGAGTGAGAGATCATAGATAACTTTTATTTATAAACTATATTTATTATATCGGTGTGTATAGAGTGTATTTGTGTCAGTGTCTATTCAGTACGTCTGTCTGGCATAGCGAGAGGAAGGATGTGGAAGTCAATCGTTGAAAACCCAGGGTATAGTATTTGTCCGTCTGTCTGTCTGTCTGTTTGTCTGTCTGTCTGTCTGTTGGTCTGTGTGTCGGTTGGTTCAATTGTTTATTTACTTAAGAATCGGTTTTTGCAGTATACTTCATATTATTGGGAATGACAGTCGAATATGGTAATGAAGTTAATTAAACTGCAGTTATTAGAATGGATGTGAAGTTAATGTTGGACATAGATGAAAATAAAGGAAATACACCAAATGCCCGTAAAAAAAGGAAAGAAAAAACAGCATTCTCCCACCAGTATTTCGCTCCCTTTTCCTTCAAAGCAGCGGGCAGCTCATTTGACGCCGACATATAGTATAACTGACCATCTGATTCCACGGCAGATTAGTCAGCGCTAGTTCGACCCATTTTGATAAATATTGAGATTAAAGGAATGCTGTAACCTTCAGGCTTCTACATATTTTGCAGAAGGAAGATAAGTGTGGTTTAAGTAGCAGATGTCTATTGTAATTTTCTTCAGAGTTAATTTAGTTTTTAAATTGCCACCCTGGGGCAAGTTTGCACGCCCCGAGGGGGAAGTTGACACACATACTAAAATCCAAAAGAAGAATACAATTTTATTCATTTTTATGCATTTTACTCGATAAACTGAATAACAGAAACAACTGAACACTCCTTAAAATAAAACCGAATTTAACAACAATAACCAAACAAATACACGGTCGCTTTAACCGAAATATTACACGATTAATAAAAAAAATCTATCTCATCTACCTCTGGTTATTCTGACAGAGATTTAGTAATTACACGCACTGGACAATAGAAGTGTCACCCCTACTGAACCAATACTATGGGGGAGATAAATGACTGTGGAATGATATGCTCCTGGTATCATTTTATTAACATCAAATTTCACAAAAAATCACAAAATAAGAACAAAATATACATGCTACCAAAATATGCAGTTTCAAGTCCAAAATTAGTACTTAGTGGCATAGCCACGTGACCTAATAATAGGTGCCAGTCTACGAGGCAAGGATTCATATAATTGTCTGATGCGTTCAGGGCTTATGCTGGCCCAGGCATGAAACACTGAATATAACAGAGTTTCTCTGCTGGTTAGATGGGCATTTGTCAAATGTTTTGACATATCATTCCACACATTTTCTATTATGTTTGCATCCGGACTCTGGGCAGGCCACATCTCCCTGCGAATGTCCTGCTGGTCAAACCAATCATCAACTGCTCTGGGCCTGTGACAAGGAGCAATGTCATCCTGGTGAACAAATGGCTCATTCCTGTCACCAAACATGTTAGTAATAGATAGTAGCAAGCCTGACTCCAAAACATCGATATATTTCTAGTGATTCATGTTTCCATTAACCACTATCAATTCGCCCAAGCCATGGATGCTGATGCAGTCCCACACCATGATGAATATGCTGCTCCGGGTTCGAAAATTCAGTGCATGTGGTTCAAATGCTTTACCAGCAGTTCGCCAGCATCGTACCCGCCTGTCNTGTCTGGCATAGCGAGAGGAAGGATGTGGAAGTCAATCGTTGAAAACCCAGGGTATAGTATTTGTCCGTCTGTCTGTCTGTCTGTTTGTCTGTCTGTCTGTCTGTTGGTCTGTGTGTCGGTTGGTTCAATTGTTTATTTACTTAAGAATCGGTTTTTGCAGTATACTTCATATTATTGGGAATGACAGTCGAATATGGTAATGAAGTTAATTAAACTGCAGTTATTAGAATGGATGTGAAGTTAATGTTGGACATAGATGAAAATAAAGGAAATACACCAAATGCCCGTAAAAAAAGGAAAGAAAAAACAGCATTCTCCCACCAGTATTTCGCTCCCTTTTCCTTCAAAGCAGCGGGCAGCTCATTTGACGCCGACATATAGTATAACTGACCATCTGATTCCACGGCAGATTAGTCAGCGCTAGTTCGACCCATTTTGATAAATATTGAGATTAAAGGAATGCTGTAACCTTCAGGCTTCTACATATTTTGCAGAAGGAAGATAAGTGTGGTTTAAGTAGCAGATGTCTATTGTAATTTTCTTCAGAGTTAATTTAGTTTTTAAATTGCCACCCTGGGGCAAGTTTGCACGCCCCGAGGGGGAAGTTGACACACATACTAAAATCCAAAAGAAGAATACAATTTTATTCATTTTTATGCATTTTACTCGATAAACTGAATAACAGAAACAACTGAACACTCCTTAAAATAAAACCGAATTTAACAACAATAACCAAACAAATACACGGTCGCTTTAACCGAAATATTACACGATTAATAAAAAAAATCTATCTCATCTACCTCTGGTTATTCTGACAGAGATTTAGTAATTACACGCACTGGACAATAGAAGTGTCACCCCTACTGAACCAATACTATGGGGGAGATAAATGACTGTGGAATGATATGCTCCTGGTATCATTTTATTAACATCAAATTTCACAAAAAATCACAAAATAAGAACAAAATATACATGCTACCAAAATATGCAGTTTCAAGTCCAAAATTAGTACTTAGTGGCATAGCCACGTGACCTAATAATAGGTGCCAGTCTACGAGGCAAGGATTCATATAATTGTCTGATGCGTTCAGGGCTTATGCTGGCCCAGGCATGAAACACTGAATATAACAGAGTTTCTCTGCTGGTTAGATGGGCATTTGTCAAATGTTTTGACATATCATTCCACACATTTTCTATTATGTTTGCATCCGGACTCTGGGCAGGCCACATCTCCCTGCGAATGTCCTGCTGGTCAAACCAATCATCAACTGCTCTGGGCCTGTGACAAGGAGCAATGTCATCCTGGTGAACAAATGGCTCATTCCTGTCACCAAACATGTTAGTAATAGATAGTAGCAAGCCTGACTCCAAAACATCGATATATTTCTAGTGATTCATGTTTCCATTAACCACTATCAATTCGCCCAAGCCATGGATGCTGATGCAGTCCCACACCATGATGAATATGCTGCTCCGGGTTCGAAAATTCAGTGCATGTGGTTCAAATGCTTTACCAGCAGTTCGCCAGCATCGTACCCGCCTGTCATCAGAGGTCACACCAAAGCGACACTCATCAGAAAAAAAATATATAGGACCAATTGTCATGGACTGTCCAGTTCCAGATCCTGTTGACCCTAGTTAACTCTACGTTGCCTGTTTTGTAACGATATAAGAGGTTTCAGTCTTGCTACCCTGCTGTAAACTCTCTGAGCATGTAACCGACGCCCAGCAATTTTCACAGACACATTCTTATGCGAGAAATTGTTCCACTGTGTTGTCAACTGACAAGCAGTGTCGAACTTTGACAACCTGGACATCAAAATCAGTCGTCAGTCTTCACGGCCAGTAGTTTTTCTTGGACGACCCATCAGAGGCAATTTGTCTCTTGATCCAGTGTTTCTATACCGAGACCAGACCCTCTGCACGGTTCTGACTGAACAATTCAATTGTATCGATATTCTGACATTGCTTATATTCCGCCTCTTCAGGATAATAACTTGACGCCTATAACCGTTAGATAATTGCCTGTATCTTGCCATATTGGAGGAAGACAGGAATAAAATTTGCTGTACATGCACAAGACCAACAATACAATTCCATGGTATAGCGGTTTTATACTCATAAGTCACATTATAAGTAGACCAGGCATTATAACTACCCAAGATCTGCCTACTTTTATTACTCTGATTTAGGTGGTGACATTTCTATTGTCCAGTGTGTGTACATTAGAATGAAAGTGTTGTGTTCTCTAGTCTCCATCAGAGTCACCGTTGTTATACACACACACACACGCACAAACGCACGCACGTCCAAGGTTTTGAACAAGTATTACGGACGCTGCCTGGCTGGTCTCTGAGTTTTTTTTAAAATACACAGTAGGTACTGACAGGTATTAAAATCATAATCAGAATAATTGATACATGCATACCTATTGTAGACGACGCGTGTCACACAGTTGTGATTATGTAATAGTCAGAGCTTAATCACTGTGTTTAAAGCTAACCTGAACTGATTGGTTTTCAGAGCACAGAACTCGCCAAAGGACTGCTGGCACTAGGGTTGAAGAAGGGAGATTTTCTCACCATTACAAGTGTTACGGACGCTTCATATGTATATATGGTATATGCTGCAGCACAAATTGGCGTTGTCATAAACGCGGTAATTACGTTATATTATCTCAAATTATATGTAATTTTAGAAGCAAAAACAAAAAGAATAGAAAATTATATTCAAATGCATTTTCAAAGAAATTACAAAAGCATGACAGTTGTTTCTGTTCTCATGTTAAAGCCCCTCTGTCGATCCAATGGTTTTCCATTGAAAAATAAAATAGGGAAACAGTAGAGCATGCAGGTCTTTAAAACAACAAATGAAATAGAACACGTGTGTCATACATTCATCTTATCACGTTAGATCTGCCGATGTGACCTTATGTTCCAAAATAATACACCAACATTATACATCGATGCAAATGACTTTTCATTTTAGCCGGCGTATGCGTACCGGCCACGTTCAAAATTCCTAGACATAGCTCTTAATCAAGTATGTATTGCGACAAAATTTGTTAAAACCTAAATTCCAATGAAAAGGTGTGTTATTCCAAAGCAATCGGTATTTTAAAGGTTTTGAAAATGTTTAAAATGTTTGTCAAAAACTGAGAATTTCTGATATGAATGATTCTGACACTATAGTCTGAGACAGTCAAAATTGTATTTTTGTTGAGTTAAAGTATAAAATTGGAAAAAAAGGCATTTGTCATAGAACCCATGGCATCGATTTCTTTTTTCAGTTAAAGTCCAAAACACTGGTGATAATAGAGAATCAGGACGGAGAAAATGTCGCTGCTTTGAAGGAACTTATACCAGACTTGGAGACATTTGGTGGAAGAAACATACAGTCTGAGAGGTAGAACCTGGGGTGTAGTCCTATCCCAGTTGTGACGGTTAAACTTAGCACCCTGCTGTTATAACAGGCAATGTAGACGTCAATTCTAATCACTCCACACTCTAACCATCACGCTTCTGTACTTCTGGTATTAAAGGAAACCAGATTGTCTCGATCTCTATGGCGAGCTGATCGCTGTGATAAGCAGTCTAGTTGCACCAAGTCAATGTGTCACATCTGATCCGATAATTGCCTTATCTCGTGTCAAAGTAATTGCAAATCGGTGCCAAATAGGGAAACCCGAAGGGTGTACAGGTGCTCCTGGGCCTCTTCCTGAACTGTACTTGACCTCTTCCTGACCTCTGTCTGACCTTTTCTTGACCTCTTTCTGACCTCTGTCTGACCTCTGCCAGAAATCTGTCTGACCCCCTTTCAATAGCTGTATTCTTAGAGGCACAATTAGAAGCGCAACTGTAGACGCGACACATACTTGTAATATTGACTTACGGAGTTCTAAAGTTGCTTGCTAATTCAGTTTCTAATTACCATGTTTTGAACATCATCGGTACTTTTAAGTACTTTTAAGTATTCAACTCAAGTGTATTTATTTCAGGGTACCCCACCTTAAGAATATCATTATTCCAAGTGTGTCGAAAGCAGCTTACGGGTGAGCGCCATCTTTATGTTTGTTTATCCTGCTGTTCAATTATAAACTTATATAAGTGTAGTAGACACATTATAGGCATACTGAAAAAGTTTATAATTACTTATATCCCAGAGAAACAACCATGACAGATGTCAAGACAAAAGTACTAAAAATCAATATATTTCTAGAAGATCTTTAAGACCGACCTTTTGATATAAATTTCAATAAAATAATTTAAGATAAATCTGTAGCTGTCTAGTTAAATAACTTACTAGTTAAATACTGTGTTCCTCGGCGTTATGTTACATGGGCAGATTTATCTCATTTTGTGGACTGCTGATGTCTGACTTTTGATTAAAGAAATCTGTTATCGAAAATGGAAGTCTAAATTTTTCAGCTTGTCCTTCGAAGATGTCACAAAGCTTGGTAAAGATATTTCAGAGGACGTCATCCAAGCAGCCAGAGATGCTTTCACTGGAGATGATCCCATAAACACGGGACTCTCCTCGGTACGAAACGAACCGCTTTTAAATAAATTTTCTAAAACATGGTAGAGAATGAGTTTATCAAAAAAATAAAAATAAAAATAAATAAATAAATAAAATTCTTTCTCGCACGGAGATCATTGGAGTGGAAATGTTTACTTGATTAAACGTAATTTTGTCTGTGGAAAAGATCACATTAACATCGTTAACTAACCTTTTGACTCCAGGGCAGCACCGGCGTTCCTAAATGTTCCGTCAATAGTCATTTTAAGGCGGTCAACTTGCTCAAGTTTTCCTTACTACGATACGCCGACTATAAGAAGGTAATAAAGACCATTTTCAAATAATGTTATTCCTGTATCGTGAAATCTTTAGAAAACTAGAAAAAATGTAACCTTCTATCCTATATGACATTTCTTACAAGGACTTTCAAATGCAACTATATAGTTTCCTGTAGTATATATTACAGTAATTAACGCTTTTTATCAAACGATAGTACTTGACTTTACTTTATACGACAAAATACAACCAGTATTACAACGGAACTCCTCTGGTCATCTTGGTGAACAATGGATGACCCAACAGAAATATCAGATCCAATTAGCTTTCAGATGTTGGAAATCCTCTTGTTTTCTGATAGACTTATAGTGTTCAGCAATCTACCTATTGATCTATAGGTTAATCTGTTGATTTATCTGTTGATCTATCTGTACTAGCTATTGATCTATTTATCTATCTATTGTGATAACAGCCGGTGGTAGTTGGAGTGGGCAATCCCGTCCACGACGAACTGGTAGCAGATTACGTCTACTGGGTCAGTGTGGAGTATGATAAAGACATCCAGCTGGTCATATTACCGTCCACACTGTGGGACGTAGAATTCCAGGGGGAGAACGAAGATGAAGGCTACCACATGGAGGATTTGTACAAATCAATACAAGAGTGCAGGTATGTTGTATTGGGTTAGTCACTTTAAGCCCCTGTGACATTGGGCTTGCCACCTCTTGGAGAACAAATTTGAACCCGCTTTTACAAATGTGTAATATGACAATCTGTAATAGTACATTAACACTGATAATGTACATGTACGTACGACTTTTGATTTTGAAGTCGACTATCATATTGTGTCAAAACTACAACTTTAAAGGAATTGGTAATGGGCAAACTTTGTTGTCCAAAAGGTCGCAAACCCAGTGTAACAGGGGTTTTGTTGTTTTGAAACGAGGTTAGAGACTTTCGAAGGTTTAAATTATTTGGGCAACATCCGGTTAAGTTAGACGTCACGGTTCACACGTACATGTATAGTGTATTATCTGGGTTCTCGTTTTAAGTTTTCTTATAAGTAAAAAATCTTTTTTTTAATTATGAAATATTGATTATGGATATTTGCCAAATAAAATAGTTTGTAGATATTTTTGTTGTTCTAGGAGGAAAACAACGCGGTTGTATTTTTTGACGTGGTCTGTACAGACGTGCTTATACACATGTTACCGCGCTTTGTGACGTTCAAAACCAACTGGCGAACCAATTTACTGCCGGACAACATTAAATCTCGATTCCTTCTTTAAATCTTTCGTTTCCAAGTGCGCCTCTAATTTAAATTTTGAAAATTTTCAAGGCTAATGCAAAATTTGATTTTAGTCAAATATATCTCAGTGGAACTCACTCAAGAAGCACGAGCTTTTAATGTCAATGGTACTTCATGTAACTGTACACTTTTTGTTATCGCAGTTTTTTTTCATTAAAATATAATCGCTATTTGTTTCAGGATCACCCACCTGGAGGTGTACCCGACATTTCTGATGAAGGGTCTGGAGCTTGATGCCGAGATTGTCCAGAAATACGACACGTCTTCTGTGAAACGAGGTACATTTCTACTTTGAAAAAATTTGTACTTATTTGATAAAACATTTAAGATTTACTAGAGGAAAAATAATAAATATAATGATAAAAATGATAAAATAAAAAAGCATCCCTTGTAGTAACTTATATGAACATTAAAACCAGGGCTCATTTTAGATGTTGTGTAAATATATAAATGTACTCCTTCGGAACTGTAAATCATCTAAAAACAATCTTTCAGACAACTCTTGCACCGGTCTCTTGTTTTAAGTTTGTCCTAGGCCATGTATACATCTTTTTTCTCTCCTCCAGCACCTGTGTGTACTATAGAACTGTTTGAATCAATGTTTTTTTTTTGGCTTCTTTAGGTATTCTCACATCCACAGTTATCACGGAGAAACTGAGAGAGCGGTGCTCAAAACTAATCCCAGAATTTGTGGTAAGGTTTTGCCTTTCGATATCTTTAATTGAGCCATATAAGATATTCTACCGTAGGTGTTTCCCTATTTAGGTTAGGGTCGTGCGTTGGTTGTTCCTTAAAGATTAAAAGTTTTCAAGTATCCTTTTGATATAATGTCAGTGTGCCAGGCCCGTAGCCAGCAATTTCAAAGGGGGCGGGTCTTTTTCTGAAAAAGTGGACCTTTTACCATATAATCCCCATGTACCTAGGTCAAATTTTACTCAGAGTGGACCTTTTTCCAGCAACCTTTTGACCTTTTTCCCTGGCTACATGTATCTTTAACTATTAAAGGAAATATAGAATTACAAGATGTCTTCTCTGGTCTTCGATGTAAAAGGAAACAACGCAAACTCGCAAACACACAACTTTCAGAAACATTGTATAAATTGTTAAGATCTTGAACACTAAGAAACTACAGCTTGAATTATTTCATTTACACAGAGCAAAAGAACACCATGTTTTACATTTATTTTCCGATCAAAAGACAGCTTACAGAAAGTTGCAAAACAGGTAGCAGAAGCATTTTTTTTTTGGGGGGGGGGTTACACCAGATTTGTCTTTTATATTCCCGGGATTTCGTCAGATTACACGCCATACAGTTTAGACCGTGCCCCCCCCCCTCCAGAATGGTCCGATAAACATTGACCATAGATGTAAATACCTGTAACACCACATGGCAACACCAGATTCTGGGTTTTCAATACAGCACTGCTAATGGATATATTTTGCTTGTTCATGAAAGTAAAAAAAGGAAATGTTGGTTTTAAGCTGATGTACGTCATCATGTTCAATTCACGCTTGGTGTTTTCAGGTCGCACTCGGCACTACAGAATACTGGAACATCAGTATCACCTATCCACTAGATGACGACTTTGACCGCCGGTACCGCGGTATTGGCTTTCCACCGCCACACACTGAGGTGTGTGTGTGTGTGTGTGTGTGTGTGTGTGTGTGTGTGTGTGAGAGAGAAAGAGAGAGAGAGAGAGAGAGAGAGAGAGAGAGAGAGGGAGGGAGCCAGACAAAGGGAGTCTTCTCCAAAGTTTTCTAAATCAATCAAACAAATAAACTCCATTATAACTATAGTTGTGTAAAAAGATTTTCCATATAGGCACCTTCTACCATTATACAGAGTTTAGTGACCCCTGATACGAAGTTTTTGCCTCCAATAAAGTTATTTCCTGGCCGTCTATTAGAAAAATCAATATGTAATCAATATATCAAATAATCTTTAGTCATATTGCTTTCAACAAACTGATCTGTTTCTCGATATTTCAGGTGAAAATAGTTGATGCAAACAACAAGATCGTTCCTCCAGGCGTGGAAGGGGAAATATGCGTGAGAGGGGTGTTCATGTTCAGTACTTATTACGGTTCTGAAGACTTGTACAGGAAAGTGGTGTCACCGTGTGGTTGGTACCATACTGGGTATGTTATGTGTTAAATGGGACAACGCGTTTGGTGAGTTGAAACAGCACACTGGGAGAATGTGATAGTTGTGAAAACACATTGGGTGAGTGAGATAGCTGTGACAACACACTAGGTGAGTGTGGTAGTTGTGACAACACACTGGGTGAGTGTGATAGTTGTGACAACACACTGGGTGAGTGTGATAGTTGTGACAACACACTTGGTGAGTGTGATAGTTGTGACAACACA